ACCAATCTGTTGGTCAGTCAACCTGGCAAGAGGTCAGTCAGTAAAACATATCCCTTTAAATAAGTCAATAAAGAAAGGGGGGGGAGGGGAGAGAGAGCAAAATACCTATAATGAAAGTTTTGTATTTTTTCCCTCCTTCCCAGTTTCTTTTTATTGTCATGGTTAGCTATTTGCATAGTCTTCTTTGCAACAGTTCTTTGAGATGTCATGCAATGTCCTCCCCCTAAAAATGAAGCTTTTTTTTAAAGGAGAGGGTTTGCTAAATGGCATCCAAAAGGAATACTTTGATAGTAGTCTTTCAAATACCATAATCATACATCAGGTATTCATCACTAGTGGACTGAAAAGTTAAGCATTTGTTCTTAATATGCAATTTACTAGAGCCATGTCAATAGACAGGTTTCCCTGTATAAAATTAACAATAAAAAGAATTCTGTGAGTATGCATATGTATTAAACATACCACAGACGTGAATGGTGATTAACCATCTAATACTTTGGTCAGGAGGTCCTTACCCAACTCATGATGAGTCTGTGTTGCCAGTGGTGACTCCTTTTACACTTATCTCTTCCAGTGCTAGACTGGGGCTCTGTAGATGTCACAAATCTACCATGTAGGATGAGAACAAAAACAGTAATTGAAATATTCATTTCATAGAACAAGAAATCCAAGAGGTGAGAGGTTTACTGCTAAACGATGATGCAGAAAATATGAACAGCAAAGAAAGAAATCCTACTGTGATGCCCTCAAATGGGCAACCTCTCACTGACTAGTGCATATCCACCTTAATTAAATTAAGCAGTTATACTGTACTGTAACTGACTAGTAAATAAAAATCTTGGTCGAGATATGGAACTCATCTGTCAACACAACTTTGGGAGAAGGTACTCCTCCCTATACCAACCGGTACAATTTTTGAATTCACAAATAAGATATATTTTAGGAAAAGAATATGTGAGAGTCCTGCCCTTTAAAAGAATCTAGAAAATATTGTTATTTTGGACCTCAGAATGTGTTAATAAGACTTAAAGACTGATCTTTACCCTTTGACCAGTTTGGAATGGATGACCCAAGCAGGAGTACTAGACTCCTGTTGATCTAGCTTCTCCCTCGTTGGAGTGATGAACCCTTTTTACAACAAGATTAAAAGGAATTGCCTTTTATATTTTGAGTCAAAGTATATGCATATTTACCTCTGAGTGTGTGCTAATATCTTCAACCAGCAGGTTTGTCTACTTTCATGATCCAGACTGTAAAAAATGACAAACAAACAAAATAATGAAATTCTAGAACCCTTTCCTGGAAGAAACTTGTAACTTTCTTCATTATTTTGTAATAAAAATCTGGCAATTACAAAAAAGTTGACCCATCAGTTATCCACAAATTAAATAGAACTTTTAGCTTCATACATCATAGATAAGTCACTTGGTCCAAAATAGGCAAACAACAGTTGCTTTCATAACAAATTTAAATGCAAATCATAAGGAATGATTGACTATTGCTGTGCCTGTAACTGCTACAGTATTTCCACAAAGCTGGATTTGTATTTTCTTTATTATGTGCTAAGGATCCTAAGCTTTAGAAGTTAAGTATCCCTGCTTTATTTCTACAAGTACCAGTCACACAAACTGAATTTGTGTTTTAATCTGCATGAGTAAATGGTCAGAAAAATAACTCTGTCTTGTCTCGATTTTTAAATGTTGTGGTTGTTTTTCAGTTTCTTTAAAAACAGATAAGGAATTTAGATAAAAAAGATCAAAGTAAATACTTAAGAGTATCTAGTACCAAAGTGTGTTCTCAACATTTTGAAGACAATGATTTCAAGTTTGTATACAGCCTGTCCTTCTTGCTTTCAGCAGGAGGCTATTTCAAAAAAAATTTGTGTTTTGTTTCCATCACAAATTGTAATTGTTTCAAAGTTTGCTTGGAAGAGTTTCAAATAAGTTTTTCATTCATATGTACCCATATTGAAATAAAATATTTTAATGAAGCTTCCCTCGTTAATCTGCATTACCTCTGTTTTCTATACTACCTACTTGCTAAAAAATGTTGTTTATGGAGAATCTTGCCAAAATTACAACTCTAAATTATTGTGGTTCATTTTGTCAATGCATCTCTTTAAGTTTCAGGAAAAAAAAAAAAAAAAAAAGAAAGAAAAATGCAATTCACCAGCCTGGGTCTGTCTGTATTGGGAAAAACTGTGCCCTCAGTCTTGAGTACTGCCCTTAGCTGTATTATCCAAGACCTAGGGCACAGTTTTTCCCAATACAGACCTCCCACCTGGCAAATAACATATATTTATTGTATAAACTACTGTGTTGTGCAAGAATGTCCAACCCGTAGAACAGCCATAGCAGCACACTTGTAAAATTACTATATTTTTTAACATATTTAATATCACCAATCAGTTGCTGACACATTAATCATTTTTTGCACCAATCTGTAAGGTTGATGAATGAACCTGGCTAAGCATTCACCATATCTCAACACTGTTAATTCAAATTTCTTACAAAGAGTGACATTCAAGATTTCATAGAAGCAGAAAAAAACCAAAAAACAAAAGTTACTTGGCTTTGGTTATGGCATTTTTTGCAGCTAAGGTACAAGGTAGTTTGTCAGAGCTCTCTCAGATTATAGCAGCTAAAACATTAAAAAAATCCATATTGCTCACAGACAGTGACATTCAAACTCTCCTAGAAGAGGAAAAACCAACATATGAAAAAAGAAAAACTGAAAAGTAACATATTCAGTGGCTTTGGTAATGACATTTCTTGTGGCTGAGAACAAAAAATGACAACTGGAAGATTTCCTACAGGCCAATTTTGGCCATTTACTTGCAGATTTTTTCTGTTGGTAGGGACAAAGTCAATAAATGAGAATTTCGTAAATTGAAAATTACACCCAATGTTGTTTATGTTATCATGATTCAACCCATTTTTCCATCTTGAGCCTTAGTGCCAATGCTCTGTACAACTGAAGATTCTTTAATTTTCATTCATTAATGAAGTTGGCTTTTCTTATCATTAAAAGGCTATTGTGTTTATATGAAAAAAAATAATTCATAGTTACTTGTAGATATAAAATTTCTCTTCTCATGTTCAACTTGACATCTCATGCATTTGCTGCCCTCACTCATGAGCTATTGACTTGAAAACTTGATGAGAAATTCCATATCAACACCTGTCCATGAATTATTCTCTGTATGTTTTACCCAATCAATGTTGCACTTTGTTATGTGCGTAAAAGGATGGAGGGGAGGGGAGGGGGAGGGGGAGGAGAGGGGGAGGAGAGGGGGAAAAATTTGGGAAGTTCTGAGATAATAAGTATTGGAAACAGCATGTCGCTTCAAATGAAAAATATCCACTCATTGTGGCCAGCATTACTACGTTGTATCTGAACCTGGGTTACACCACCTAAGCGGGTTACCTTACTTACCTGGTGTCCCTCACCTCCATGTAAACAGGCCCTAAACTTACAAGCGCAATTACAGCTTGGAGGTCCACTTTGATTACATCTCACGGATTACTCTTTGTTCAACATGATGTATGAACTTTAAAGACAATAAGAATAAATACAGCTTGCTTTAGACAAGTATTTCTTGAGCAGGCAACCTTACCTTTGGCTGACTGTATCTATGAATGCTCCATAATGGTTTGGTGCACGTGTGTGTTGACACGTTATCCTCATTTCTATATTTCAGTAGCCTTTAACGTCGCGTTTCCTTCTTCACATTACGAAAAAAGAGTGAAATACACTCTCACGTCATGGAACACTTAAGCTTCCGTTTTCCTTGCAAATAACATAGTACCAAAGAAGAGTTAAAAAGCCCTCTTCTCCTGTCCATCTTTCGCCGCCATGTTTGATTCATTATTTGTTCCCAGTCTCTAGGCACGTCAAATTAAAAGAAATAAAACGCGGGAAGCACTGCGCAGATTGACGTGTTTCCTTTTAATAGCTCTTTTAAACCACAAAAGTTTGCCAACAAACAAGTAAAAATCCAAGCACTCGATCAGTTTAGGTTTGCTTTATAAAGAATGAAAGCTGTATGCATTTCATGGCCACCTTCTGTTAGGTGAGACTCGTTTGCGATCTACAGTCTTTGCGGGTCGTATTATTGTCAACCTGCGACTGATGTACCGCCAACCCGAAGAAGGGGGAGGGGGATGGGTAAGATTATCGCGTCATAGGTGGTGCTATACACGTGAGCTGACACTAGCTTACCTTGAAATCTTTACACTAAAATCAACCCTTAATCTGAGAAAAAAATCGCTCCAACATCTGAGTGAAGTGGTTTGACATTTTATTGTCGACATATGAGCATGGCGCTGAAAACAGGACTAACAACTCACTCGTGTAATGTCCTTTCCGCATTTCATTCGATTCACTTCTCACAAATAAAATAATAGGGATCAATGTCAGTATTTGTGCAACTGCGCACCTACCCCTCCCTTAAACCAACAATTATCATACCTGGTTAGTAGTTTATCGCTAATGGGTCAGGGGAGGGGTGGGTACACAATTGCTCAGATACTGACTTTGATCTAACACTAGACTTATCGATTCCACATCATTTGCGTCGCGTCGCAAACGTTAGGCCACTTCAGACTACAATTACTCTTTGAAAATAAGTCATTGGTGACGTGAAACTGATAATAAAAAGCTGTTACTTAAAGACAACAACCTACCTCGTATTGTTAAAAATGAAAACCCTGGTAAAGAATTAAAAAATAATAAGCCCGTAATAGATTGCTGGACTGGCCGATAAATTTCCATGGCTCCATTACCCATCAACTGAGAAAAAGAGAGGTTATCTTTCTCACCAGAGGCCTTACAGATAAATAAACATTGTCCACGTGATTTAACATTTCCTAAAGGAGGGTCTCAATGCGGTGATGGCTTTTATGGCTAACAGTAAAATGTTTTGGCCATTTTACGGCTAACGGTTGATATCATTTCGTTGTTGTCACCTTAAAATTTTTTAACGGTGAACTCTTTGCTACAACTTTCGGTTAAAATTTGTCAATTTTTACGCCTAACGGCTACATTTTTGGGCTATTTCACGGCGATCAGTCAACCCCATTGAGACCCTCGTACAAAGGACTGGCTTTTCTAGACCTTACAAGCATTTCCGAAATCAGAAGCGATCTCGAGAGACCTAAAATGATCATTGAAATACGATTTTATCATAAGAATCATAAAAAATTTCGATTTGTATGTTTTACCCAAAAGATAAACAAAAAAAGTTAGACTCCTTGCATTTTAGAAGGTTTCTATCATGTGCGGCTATGCGGAGTGTGAACAGACCTGGCTATGGATTTGAAAATTTTAATTTCTTACATCAAAATATACTTCTACCGTTCTCTTTCTCGTTTGATACGACTTAATTGTATTAAAATGCAAATCTTAACAAAAGGAAGTGATGTCAAAGAAATGCTAAAATACTGTTGAACTGAACATGATCATCTTCTTGATGTAACAAGTTGCTTAAAAAATGGTATAACCGGCCAAAACACCTTTAGTTTTCAGTTTTTAGAGCTAAGATAAAGCTAAAGATATCATTACATTATAATTCTTAAACCTCTGTGGTCAAGAATTAACCCTATATGTAAAAAAATTGAGGTGTTGCCCTATTTTGGTTGTTAGAACGGTTTGGAAGGCACAAAATAAATTCATATATTAATGTCACTCCGACCACGTTCTTGGTGACTGAGAAGAAAACTAAGCAAATGAAATAAAAATGTCAACTTGGCAGACTCAGTTTCGAGCGCCCTAAGCATTGTAAAGTACAAAGTGGTGCTTTCACATGGCTGTACCTCATCGCTGTAGCACAAGGTCCATGACTTAGAGATGATCATGTCCATGTTTGTCCTCTTGCATGATTACCTAAGAACCATAAACATATTAAAAGATCTTAAATTTCTATCAAAGTTTATACAGGGGGCGCTTTTATTAAAAAGAAAGGAAAATTGCTTGCAGGACAAAAACAACAACATTTTGGGACAAGAAACTCATACGTCAGTAAACAGGCGTGGCAATTCAATTAAATTCAGGAAAAATTGATTGACACCGCGGGCTGGACGGCCTATATGAACAAAAAATAAAACCATTTTTAAATTTGAGGTAGAGTAGCTGGGAGGTCTAAGCCCTGTTTTCACAACTGATGGTCCTAAGTTTGAGTCCCAGGCAAACACCTCTGACAATAATCCAACTGATTTAACTCCTGGTAGCTGCAATTTTGAAATCTGTCATCTACATTCGAATACTTTTCAGATCTTATTTCGTCGGTCCACTAAAGAGGAAACCTGTCAGGAGTGAAACATGTAGTTTAGCTAGCTTTATTGGTCCTCTTAATCGGGTACTTAAAGATTAAAATCGACCGATGCCTTTCGTCTTACTCACCTTAAAATGTGAGAGTTACATTGTCACCAAGTAAGACAAATGGAGCCCAGTGCTTCCTATCAGAGTAGAGTACTGACTCTCTCATTTTTTTCATGGTCAAGTGAAGAGATTCGCTTGCACTGAGTTTCTCGCGGATTAAGAACTTGTAGAATATGTTCATGAATGCTTTGGTAGCCCCATCATCGACAGCCCACAATGACATCAGAACTGAACGAGCACCAGATCCTAAGAAAGCTCGAGCAATTCCAACAATCCCTTCGGCTTTTAATGCCTTACCACGAGCACTGTGACAACAGCTGAGTACCACCAGCTTGGCTCTGATACCAACTTGAGCTATGTCGTTCATTGTTAGCAAGACGTCGCCGATCTTAGGAACTCCAACGACAGACCTGTTGGGAGCAAGAGCTATTTCCCCGGTGGTTTCATCACCATGGGCAGCAATGTGCACTAAGCTCACTTCTTGGATTCTTTTCAAGACTTCCTCCTTTGTGGCCTCCTCTCCTATCAAACAGCGCACTCCTACCAATCTTGACACCATCTGCGCTTCTTCTCTGGCTTTAGGCAATGGATCTAGAGTCTTTACACTTCCATTTATCTCTACAGGGCCAACCGCTGGATCTCCGACGATCAAAGCTCCACTTTGAGAGTGATAGCTGGCTGCCGAGTCGTGAATGAGCTTCAGTGTCGTTATAGACGGGATGAGGCGGACTCTCACAGTTTCAGAAAGGTACTTTCCATTTTCATCCTTTAACGATGCAAATGGCGTCAAAAAAAGGCCGGATTCTGGGGATATGATGATCTCCGGGCTGTCTATGAGGTCAAATATAGGAGCAATAAAGGCAGCGTACGACTTGACCGTATAGGAAAGGCCAATGTATGATTTGCTTCCGATTTGTTTCACTTGCATTTGCACAGAACCTTTGTTTGGTTTTAACTGTTGTTCCTGTGAAGCAAATGGATCATTTTCATACAGCAGAGCCAATGAACGATCTTCGCAGTGTGGATCATCCAAAGTCGATGAAGAGGCATCCATTTCAGGCTCTTTGGTGGCACTACTTTCTTTGAATAACTCTGTTTCTAAGTCTATTTTTACCAGTTTGAATTTTACACTTCCGCCTTTGTCAACGAACCACAGGGCGAAATCGCTATTCATTTGAAAAGTTGCTATAAAGAGGAAGTTCCTTTGCTGTTCTTTAAAAAAGTTTTGGAGGGCATCTGTAGTTACTTCGTTATGAACAAGACTCCTTTTGATTCCGTAACTCTTCGACATTAGATCAACAAGGGCACGACTTCGTCCGAGCTCCAGGGTGAAAAGGGCTTGGTTCAGATTCCCCTCGCGAAGAAGCAGCCACGAAAGAGATTTATAACAAGAATAGTTCTTACCATCCAATGAAATCTTGTCTGTTTCATCTTTGAGGAAAGATCGAGTTCTTTTGTGGATTTTAATGCTTTCGTGCAAGTTTTCACATGCTTTCGAAAAGTTGCCTTCAGAGGAATATACTTTCCCTAAAGTGTTACGAAGATAGATTTGCGACTGATCTTCCATTCCAATTTCCTTCTTCAACTCTAGCGCTTTGCTCTGATACCAGATTGCTTTCTCGTTGTGACCTTGAGCAAAATAAACATTACCAAGAAGAACGTAACAAGACACCTCTCTTTGTTTTTCACCAATCTCTTTCACGATTTTAAGTGCATCCTTAGCATGCTCAATGGCTTGCTCATATTTTCCAAGAGCAGAATTCAAGGCGGCAAAACTAATTAAAACTGATGTCTTTAATTGTATGTGTCCGACTTCTTCACTGACTTTCAGAGCTTTCTGTAAATATTCGCATGCTTTCTGATATTGACCAGTAGAAATATAAATATCACTGATATCAGCAAATGTCATGGCAAGATCCACTTTGTTTCCAGTTTTTTCGAGAACATCAATAGCCTTTTCTAAATAGCTCTTGGCTTTCTCATAATCACCAAGATAACTGGGAAGTTTGCTGGCATTTTTATAGCATATTCCCATGATTTCGAGATCCCCTTTTTCCTCGCAGAGTTTAATGGCTTGTTGGTGATATTGTCTTGCCTTCTCATAATCACCGAAGGACATGTAAAGATTTCCAAGGTCAGTGAGGTTTCCAGCCTTTTTGACACCTGCGTCTGATTTGAGTTGAAGGGCTCTTTCAAGATATTCTAGGGCTTTTCGAAACTGACCGAGTTTCATTGAAACTTTTCCAATAAAGTACAGATTTGCTGCCTCCAACACTCTGTCTTCGATGTCTACACTAAGTTTAAGGCTTTTTTCGTAATATTCAAGTGCCTTTTTGAAGTCACCACGTGCCTCATACACTCCACCAATGTTGTTGTAGGATGTTCCTTCATCTTTTCTGCGTCCAAGTCTTTTACGAATCTCGAGTGCTTTTTCGTGGAAATCAAGTGCTGCCTCAAGATTGCCCAGGTAGTTATGATTCATTACTCCCATGTTGTTGTAATATATCGCTTGCTGTATCTCATTTCCAATTTCCTTATTTATTTTAAATGCTTTCTCATAATAGTGACGAGCCTTTTCATAATTTCCACGCACATTATATACCTCACCAATGTTGTTGTAAACCCTTCCCTCGAGTTCTTGTTTCTCATGTCTTGATAGTCCACTTACATCAAGAGCCTTTTGATAATGCTCCATAGCTCTTTCATACTGGCTCGCAATGTGAAGCGATCTACCCAAGTGGCAGTGACACCACGCCTCTTTAAATCTGGGACCAGCTTTTTCGTAGATGCACAATGCCTTTTTTAGGCAGCTGATTGATTCTTTGATCTGACCGAGTTCATAAAATTTAAGACCACGTTCCTCGAGCAACAGAACTCCCCTCATAAACTTTCGGCGTATCACGTGTTCGATCAGTGTCATTACGGAAGAAGGTTTGCTCACCGACAGTTGATTCAGTAATACCAAGCACTCAAAATAAAAGCCAATGGATTCCATCAAGCGATTCGTGTTGGTTAGAAATACCGCCACAGCATACCCAATGAGGAAAGCTTTCACCGCTGGTATTTTGTCCATCTTTCTGCTGTTCCCCAATAGATTACTAAACAAACAAACAGAAACAATAACCAAGATGTCAATATATTTGTATCTAACAGCAACATCAGTTAAGCGTGGATTCCTTTGTTCTTTTAGGCTGGAATATATCCTATAATCCCAACAAAGTGGTCAAACATCACACTCCCCTCGTCAATTGTAACGTCACCTTTGTGCGAAGTTGGCAAATCTTTTTCACTGCTACGGGGTTGTGTAGTTTTGGATCTCCTCGGCGTTATATCGGCTGTTGATTCGTGATTATGCGAAGGTAGCCTAAGCTCGCAAAATGAGCCTTCGTAAGTATGTAAATATGTCATGAGTTGCGCTAAGGACGAAACATAATTATTTTCATGGGAATAAATAGAGCTCTCTCGACGTAAAAAATCTGAACTTGTTTTGAATATAAATAAACTTATTTAAAAAAGAACAACGTGGATTTACTGGAGCAGGGTTTAATGGCCCCAAATCATTCCGAAAAATTCATACGATCCGGTAAATTTGTTTTTATTTAAACTCAAACCGACAGCCTTCGTATGGACAAACAACAACCGTGCGGGTATTTTAACACCTGGTGTCACATAACAGAGGATGTAGTCCGCACAACAGGCGTAATTTTGGCCAGCGAGTGCTCAGTATTGTCTTGGTGAAAATTATAGCTGCAATCTTTGATTTTTAGGGCGAGGGAAGGCTGGGATGAGAAAGTAATAGTAGTAAGGGGGCGAGTGACATGGCCAGTTGCAAGCTTGTAACGTTGACTCGCCCTAATAAGACGCCTGCCCTAAGAAGAAGCCTGCACAATATGCAGGTCAGAGAGGATGAGGAATTCACACCCTCTTGTTACGGCTGTAAAGAAATATAGACCACTATGACAGAGGGTAGTAAGTGGTTACTTGGCCGCCTTGTCTACGTCACGCAAAGTATCGATTACAGATGGCTTCATTTACAATACGAGGAGATCTATCAAAGTGAAAACTTGAAAAAGGCTTATCTTGCAAGTTGTTTGTTAGAAAAAAAACATAATGCGAAAACTGAAGAAAAACGGTTGCAAAGACCTAAACTGGCCCCCAAGTCACGTGACCAATCTCATTGTCAAGTCTGTTCGGGGGTAAGGTTCGCGTCGACCATAATCCTTTAACCCCCATGAATGTCCAAGAAAGAATTTCTCCTTACAATATCAATGCAATATCAAGCAGGCAAGTGACGAGAATAATGACAAATATTAATTAGGGGATAATTAGTCGATCCAATACCAAATTCTCCAAATTAACATCACGAGAACTTTATGGCAGACAGTAAGGAGAATTACCAATGAGATCTTGGGAGTTTAAGGGTCAACACCATACCTCCGCTGAAAACTAATTAACAGTGTGTATGAGCCAGTGAGCCTATTCTGGTAATTCTGCTGATGGCTCTAATTTTCTCGCTGTTTCAATACGAATGCATAAATATTACTAGTAATAAGATAACTGAAGTGCATACCATTTAGGGCTTGGTTGTTTAAAGCTGGGTTAGGTAACCCAAAGTTAGTGTGAAATTTGATTTAATAGCATATATTCTTTTGTCAAGAATTTGATTTTTTGGATGCTCTAAATCAAACTGAGAAAATTATCCGAAAGAGGCTTTTGAAAAAAGTAATAAAGAAACCCGGATTAAAATTTAACCATGAGTTTGCTCTAATCCGCCATCGTACAACTGGGCACAGAGCTTTTAGAAGGGTGTTACTAAACTGTGGATCAGCAGAACGCGGATCCTCTGGAACCAGCAGAACCTGCAGAACCATTCATTTTTTGTAGAAAAAAATAATAATGAAATAACATGAGAACTTAAAATACCTTAACATTGTTCGAGATTTCTTTTTCGGGCATAAAGAAGATAATGTTTAAAGAGAAATACATATATTTTCTTAATCTGCCTTGACGTCTAACCATATTGCGCCCAAGCTCACACAAAGCGCCCAAGCTCACACAGTGAGCATCTGTGAATAGGCAAGTATGTTCACGTTGTGCAATGAGTGAAATTAAAGAGTTTGCATGGAAATAAACAGTCGCGCCCTCAACCTTAAAAATTGCCGAACTATTTTATGAACAGGAGCCAATTTTCCCAGCTCAAGTTATTCTTTTGCATCGTGAGTTCGCTCAATTATATCCGCCGTCAATTCCTTTCACCCGGCTCTGAAATATACTTGGGAAATTTCCGACACTTCTTTGGCTTTTGTAGACAGAAAAATTTCAGTAGAAGGCAACGTGCTATGCACTAATGTTAACTAAAAACCTACAGATTCACATAGTTACTTCAATTCATTTTCGCAGCCATCACGCGTCAAAAATTCCATACCTTTTACACAGTTCTCAGACTTCGTCGTTTATGTGGTGACCAATCTGATTTTCCCAAAAAATCAGAGGCGTGTGACAGTTTTTCGATGAACGTGGCTATCCTGTTTCTGTCGTTCGAGAGGGCCACCACCGCACCCAACTAATTGATCGACAGTCAGCACCACAAGCGGCTCTTAAGGAAAATACCGATTGCACTCCATTCATTCTCATATTTCACCCGGCCCTCACAACCACGCAATTAAATCTATCATTCTTAAAAACTTTAAATTACTTCAAAACGATTCAAAGACTGTTATTATCTTTTCGCAACCCCCACTAATTTCATTCAAACGCGACAAAAAACAGAGGCAACCTTTTGGTCAAAAGTTCATTTCATACCAATGACCAACCTATAACTTTCAAATGAGCTCGCTCACGATGCAAAACTTGTTGTATGGACTCAAGAGATCCATTAAGATCACTGTTCACTTCAACTCGCACTTATTCCGTGGGATACGGTGGACCATTGTTACATAGAAGACACGCTCTCTGCTTTTTAAATTCAATTTTATCGCGCAATAAATGAAAAATTATCGTTGGGTCACACAAGATCGGCTGTCATACACGTTGTTTCTGTGGCTGCAACAGTTGAGGAGGTATGCTTTGAGGTCGGTAGTTCGTTTTATTTTCGTGAAAAGATCATTGAGCAGTACTTTGCAATACTTCCACTACACATAGCTTTGTGAATCAGTACAGTAAACCTTGATTTTACGAAATCTTACGAGACACTTTCAGAGATGGCTGTCAGTCGATTGTTTCAGAACAAGTGTGGATTATCTAATCTTTCTGATTATACTGCAGGTTTGAAAATTTCTGGATGTCACTTCTGCGTCGCCAACCCCGTTAAGAAAGAACTTTCCAACTGTTGCAGCCACTGTCGTCTCGTCCGCGGAAACAACGTGAGTGACAGCCGATCACGTGCGACCTGACAAGTTTCCCATTTATCGCGCGATAATTTATCATTTATACCGCATTATTTTGATTTCATCGCGCAGTAAATGAGGAAATTGAATTTAAAAAGTGGATAGCGTTTCCTCTACGAGCTACCGTAGTAGGATGCCTGTGGCATACCAAGTAAAACCAGCTGGTTACTTCTTCATTGCATGGACAAATTGCAAAGCAAGTCAATAGGAATGCGTAAAATCTTTATCGATTTTCATCCTATGAAAACATTGGCGGCTGGATTGATCAAAAGCGGAAAAAAATAATCCTGTGCTTTTCTGACAAAAGAAACCTGTGGAATTCACTTCTGCATATCTTTTAATTTCACTCAGTGACTGAATCCGAGAACACCTTCGCAACGTAGAAAGAAATGATGCGACGCATCCAAACCAGTCGCTAGACACTTCAATCTCCCTATCATTCTGAGCAGTACACGGCAGTTTGCGGCCTTCCCCTACATCTAGGCAGTTCGCAAAGCCGCAAAACTCTAAACTAAAATTTATCTTTCAAATCAGCACTCTTCAACCCCACCGTATCAACGAGCGCTTTTTCATTAAACTAATTACGCTATCGACTTTGCTAATCATAGCAGTATGCAGAACGCGTGTGATATGAACTTCGTAAAAGACATCGCTCACCGTGGAGTCTTTGTGGCTCAGTGGTTAGACCATCGGAGCGTAGAGTCCGAAGGTTTTAGGTTCGATTCCTTATGGGGACTCAAAATTTTTCTTTGTCCCACGCTCGTGACGAGACGAAAAAAACATCTTTCTCTAATTAATTCTTGTTTTTCCGTCACCATAATCCCACCAATAGTGTAGCTCCATTTTCTGCATATAAACACACACGTCCCTCAATTCCTCAAATCGCTCTGGCGAAGGGCTAATGCTCGCAACGTCAGCTTTGAAACTCTCTACGGTGGCCTATTTACGCTATCAACTCAGTCGATAATACTAAATTACCCAACTATCTATAAAAAAAAAATATGCAGTCTTCGCAAACTGCTCCAGCAATAACCATATTTAGTTTAGTGTAACCATCATGAAATTAAATCTTTCCTGACTGATTTCTTTATTGACCGTTTGAATAAGAAATGATATTTAATTTTAATCCCAGGTTCTGTCTTCTTTGCCATGGTAACCGGCTATGAGAAGAAATGGCGGTCATCTAGAATGTCAGTTCAAGATGACAATAAATTCGTGGAACCGATCGGATTGCAAAGCAGTTCATAACCGTAGTACAATCTCATAAAAACCGGGAGTACAACTAAATAAATGCGTTTCGTTTCGTCGAATGCAAAAATAAATCGGAAACGGGAGAAATGAATATTACTATGATAATCCTATACGTGCCATTCCACGAAATCCCCGGTTGTCACGACAGGAAGGCACATCAACTCTGAACATTGAATCGAGTTTGAATTGGAATAAAAAGTGATTCTGAACCAACTCATCTCCCAGAAGCGTAACTCAAAGCTCATTCAAATACACACACTAAATATTACTGCAGGTATACTGCATTTATAAATGCGTCTTACCTCTAGTTCAGATTAGTGTCTCTCGAAGTTCGGTGATTACGTCGCAGTCAGTTATCAAATTTTTCTAACAAGAAGCCCAAATTACGCTTGAGAACACATGGGAAACATAAGAAACAGGAGAGGTCTACGACCGT